ACTCAACATAATTCTACACTGAACAATTCCAAAAGCACAGGAAAACACAGAATCATTTTATGAGGTAACCTTATCTTAATAGCCCTCATAGGCACACCAAACCTTGTAACCAATCTCATTAAAGAATCCAAGGAGGACTGGTTCCAGGACCCCCAAAGAAGCCAAAATCTGCAAATGTTCAAGTCTCTTATATAAAATGGTATAATATTTGCCTGTAACTTACACATCCACATATCCTCCAGTATACTTTAAATCATTTCTAGATTACTTATAATACCTAACACAATGTAAATGCTGCATAGTTATTATACTGTATTGTTTAGGGAGTAATGACCAAAATAAGACTGTACATGTTCAGTACAGATGCAACAACGCTTTTTTTTCCCAGAATATTTTCAATCCACAGTTGGCTGAATCTAGGAATTCAGAACCTGTGGATACAGAAGGCCAATTATATACCAAATTCTAGGTTTAAATTTATTATATTAAAAGTAGAAATACATTAAAATAGTAAAGCAACATGCCCAAATGGGGTTTTATCAGGAATTCAAGGACAGCCAAAACAATACAACATTGTGGTTAAGAGCAGGGGCTTGTGTATCACATGACTTTTGAGTTTATCCGACCCTTATCCGACCCTTAATACATACTCGAGATGAAATGTTGCTTTAGTTCTCCAATACTGTTTCTTCAGCTTCAATAGAAAGGAGAAAGATAGTACTCACTTCATAAGGTGGTTGGGAAGATTAAAAGAAAAAACTTTGTAGGAAGACTCAGCACAGTGCCTTACACAGATTATATAGTAAATATTCATATATCTTATGTACAAATGGTTCTTATATTACTGACATATAAAACATCATTCACTGCAAAAAAAAGACATGATTGTCCACATCTAAATCCAGTTTTGAAACATTTATAAAACTTAGGAATGTATGAAAATTTCCGTATTATAAGGAAACAATATATAATAGAAACTAACATAAATAGTAGCAGCATTCTGTAAACTTAAAGTAATAAGTGGTAAAAATAATGACAAGAAAGAGATCAGAATATTAAGTATTTGTAAAGGATATGGACCATATACATACAATATTGAAGAAAATCAACAGAATATTTATTAGAAATGATTTGAATTCGTTTAAAAGGCTGGATACAATGTGAGTATACGTGTTAAAATCAGGTGTGAAAAGGAAAGAATAAGAAAAGGAATAAACAGCTGGAAACCTATCTCTCTGCCCAAATCAAGTCTTATACTAATAATAAGATAATCAACTGATTCCTAATAAAGAATATTCCCTTTATGTAACATTTAAAGTGATTTAAGTAATGTTAACTATCAAATGCTGCATGGTATAGTTTTATAACCTTAGATAATCCTAAATTGGAAAATACACATTATTTTAACTAAGAAATTTACCCTGAATCCAGTCTGCAGTGTTTTCCAAGTTTTAACTCTTCAACTTGCTTAATCTATGACAACCTTCCCACCTAACCCTCATCTTTTGAGGAATGCAGTGAAAGTTGACTGTAGATCTGTTAGATTCCTCTGCCTCCATGCTATACTATTTCTTTTTTATTCTCCCTATACAGAACGCTTGCTTAGGACCATTAAACAATTGAATCTAAAGAAGTTGCTCACATCTAATCATAATAATGTTTAAAAAGAACCTTCAGAAGCACTTAATGACTTGCCCAAGGTGACAAAAAGGTGGCTGAGATCTAGCCCACATTCTTTCACTACCACTGCCTATTCTCCTAGCATGAACACAGTTTTCCAAGCTTTCGTTGTTCTGTTTTGTTGTGGTTTGGTTTTTTGTTTTTTTGAGATAGAGTCTTGCTCCGTCGCCCAGACTGGAGTGCAGTGGCATGATCTTGGCTCACTGCAACCTCCGCCTCCCGAGTTCAAGTGATTCTCCTGCCTCAGCCTCCTGAGTAGCTGGGATTACAGGCGTGTGCCACCACACCTGGCTAATTTCTGTATTTTCAATAGAAACTGGGTTTCACCATGTTGGTCAGGCTGGTCTCGAACTCCTGACCTCGTGATCCCCCCGCCTCACCTTCCCAAAGTGCTGGGATTATAGGCGGGAGCCACCGGGCCTGACTGTTTTGTTTTAAGACACAGGGTGTCATTTTGTTGCCTAGGCTGGTTTTGAACTGCTGGCTTCAAGTGATCCTCCCACCTCAGTCTCCCCAAGTGCTGCGATTACAAGCATGAGGCACCACGCCCAGCCTCACTGTTTCTTAATAATTTTTAAATCTCGAGATTCGGTTAGGAAACTAAGTACTGTACTTACATTCCTTTTGGAAACCATTCACTTATTTCATTCATCAAATATTTGCTCAGTCCTACTATGTGTAAAGAACTGTTCTAAGCCCTACAGTGAAACAATATATTTTATTCAACTCAGAAGGATACATTTAATATAAATAGTATCCTGTTCATTTCACTTTGGAAATTAATTTGGTCCCTGAGAGCAAACCTCCTCCCAATAATAACTGCCCTAAAGAATACTAGCTTGGTTCACCTGCTTAGATAGATTGCGGGGCGGGGGGTGGGGGGAACCGCCATGGAGTATCCTCATTTGGAACTTGAATCTATGTATCAAATTTTTGAGACCTAAGGCTCCTACACTTTGGTAAATATGAAGCATAAAGGCTGAAGATACATGTCCAAAACCAAAATTATCACAGGATTTAACTAATCTGCTGCCAACTGCACCTCACCTGAAACATTTAAACCTCAGAAAAGCAGCTTTCTGCAGTTTTACTACATCTCGTAAGTCCCTGGGTTGGCCAAACTCCAGCAATCAAGCAAAGAACACATCAAAAGGGAAAGGCAGCCCCTTGCCTTATCATCCTACATTGTGACAAAGACTGATGAATTCTATAGGTGAACCAAAAAACCATGAAAGTTTTGTGTAGTGTGGTGCTGTAAACGACAAAAAAAAACTTACATCCATCTGCAAAATAAAAATTTAAAAACTCTTGAAAATATAAGAAACCATTCAGACTACCAAAATACAGCTATTTACTTAAAATTTAAAAACATATACGTACACACAATTTTTTAAGGTGAGAAGAAAACTGGCTAAAATGTTGGCTATACAATACACACTACACACCTCTCCTTTTAGATAATCCATAAAGTGTCTGAGTAAAAAGACTTTCACTTTTGTTTCTTCTAAGTGTGAAGTTCACTTCCTAGTTACCAGTTTTAAGCGCGCTTCCTGGTTACCAGCTTGATGGATTTAAATCTGTCAACTTATTGATACATGGTTTATTTATATCCATATAAATATTTTTAAATAGTTCTAATATGAGTAATAAAGCAATCGTGTGTTAATATGGAAAGTAAACACATTTAAGTGTTTCTTTCGTAAAACAATCTAAGTATTATGGAAGTATAAAAGTTTCTCTAAAAAAAATCCCTAATAACAATGAAATGATCTAAAACACCCCCATACTAAAAATAACATCATAATGATATTTTGAATTAACTACTACTCCCTTTGTGTGGGGAGGGGATTAAAGTAGGAAATTGGACTTGACAGCCAAGATCACTTTCATTAACTTGATTCTTGATTCTACAATTTTATGCACAACCTCTGAACCATGCAACAGAGCCTGCAGTTACTTAATGCAGTTTAGTCAAAATCAAATGAAAAAAAAAAAAAAAAAAATTCCACAAAGTTCTTCCCATTGTTCAAACTTAGGATATGTGAAAAATTCGTATTTCTCACTTTGAAACAGACTTTAATATTCAACATTGAAGACAATTATAAACAAATAGTACCATACATATTAAACAGTGCTTAGTATTCACATGACCACGTGGTCTTTCGTAAGCCTTAAGTCTTCAAAAACTAAATTTGAAGGTATTCAAAATAGAATAGGGAGGATTAGGAAGTAAACTCTTTTAAACTCTCATTATTAAGTCTTGAATTATTTCACCGTAAATAAAGTGCAGTGTGCAATATCCTTCTAACTTTACCAGTAATATCAACTAACATACGAGTCTCAAAAACTTTCCCAACGTGCCTAAAATAACAATGCACTATCCTTGCTTTCCAAACTTCTTGAGTATCTTCGACTACTTTAAAGCAGTATCATAAAATTCTAAAAATAATCTCAAGGCAAAAATTTAGCAGGCTGTATGTAGACAGCCCATTTTAGAACAGGTCTTATTGCAAAGTCAAGCACAGGTAGAATATCGCTACACCAAAACCACACCAGGGTGGGGCATTCATTACTCACCCAGATTAACCAAACACAACTCTGGTGGTTGATCACAGTAAACCCTAATTGTCCCCGTAATTCCAACACGACTAAGGCACGGTTGACCCCTTTTGCCCAAAATGCTTTTCACGCAAATGAAAAATTAAAAAAAAAAAGAAATTAAATTATGGCCAACTACTCTTCAGAATATGGTGCAAGCCGTGATAGTGCACTTAAGATTCTGAAAGCAAAGTCTAAAATAGCAGAATGATCTCTCACTATTCACTTTAAAGAGATAAAGCTTCATAGTTTTTTTTTTTAATGGTTTTCTTTAGTGAGTAACCATTTGAATGTGTGACTGATGCCAGAGTAAAGAGTGAACGAAGGAACAAGGTCAAACTTAGGGGACAAAAGATTCCTGGAATAACACGGCCAGAAAGGTTTCCTCTCTTAGGGACAGTTACTATATCGAAAAAAAAAAAAAAAAAAAAAAGCAGAAAAGAAGAAGAAAAAAGGGAAACCTTAAAAGGAAAAGAAACCAAGCAAATCACCTACTTCTAGAGTCCACCTGGCCAACACGCCTGCCCCGCAAGGCAGGTAATTCGATTTTGGTGGAGACCGTTTTGCAAAACAGCAGGCCTGTAACACTACCACCTTCGAAAGACAAAATGGGTTCAGAAAGGATGACAACTGGCTCTTCTTTCTTATTTAAGGGGAGAGAATAAAGTTTCATTAAGAAGCCACACAGAGCACTGTAGGAATGTGAGGGTCGCTCTCAATACCTGGCACCGTCTGCTACGGGAAAACAATCGGCAGAAGGAAGTGGACCGAAGCCCGCAAACTACACTCTGCTTCCCACACGCAGCTGGGCACTGGGCGCGACGCCCCCGAGGCGATGGGCAGGGGCGGGGGGTGACGGTGGAGGAAGCCGGGGACGGCGGCGGCGGCGAGGCCGGGGCGCCCGGCAGCGGCGGGGGAGGACAGCCCGTCGGAAGGAGGAGTGGGGCCCGCCGGCTCGCGGGCTCGCCTCACCTTCTGCGCCGCGCTCTGCTGCAGCACGTTCTGCTCCACGGTCATGGCCCCCGCGGCGGCGGCGGCGGCGGCGCCCGGCTCCTCGCGCCTCCGCCGGCCCTGGCTGCCGCGCTCCGCCGAGCTCCAGGGAGCGGCGCGGACCGCCGGGAAGGACAGCGCCCCCGCCAGCCAGGCGCGAAGGCGATGGCGGCCGGCGTGCGCGGGCACCGCGGGCAGGCGGCGAAGCGCCGACTGCTAGGGCCACGGCGGCCGCCCCACGTCTCCACGCGGCCCGCCTCAGCGCCGCTCGTCCGCGGCGGCCCGGGCCATGAGCCGGCGGAGGACGCCGGGGCGCGGGAGAGCGCGGGCCAGTCAGGTGGCGTCACGCGTTCGCGCGCTCCTTCGCTGGCGGCTCGCGGCTCGCGGGCCGCTTTAGGGAAGGGAGAGAGGGGACGGAGGGAGCGGCCGCCCGGAATGGCGCTGTCCTCCTCCCTCCGTGAGTCCTCCTCCCTCCCCTCCCCCACGCGCCGTCCCCGCCCCCGCCCAGCGGCTCCTCCCCCGCAGAGCCCCGCCCGCCGGCCGCCCTAACCCTACATTGTGACCCTCCGGGCGGCGGGGCGGGGCGGGGCCACCATGGAGCCCCGCCCCTCCCGGCGCGGGCCGGCGTTCCCGGGTGGGGCGAGGGCGCGCCCGGCTGCCTAGCCCGGGAGCCGCCCCTGCGGCAGGTTGCGCGACGCTGGCGCTGGGCTTCGCGAAGCGCGGCTGGAGGCCGGAGGGCAGTGTTCCCGCCTGCGCCCAGGGCTTGTCGGATCCGTAGCTTGCCCAAAGCCTCCAAAGCAAACATTTCCCTGCATGCCCATAACGTCCCAAAACTACCTAGGGTCCCGAACTGCGGCCTCTTTCTGTGTCACGCGTTCTCTCCCCTCACCTTTCTAGGAATTTCACAAGCCTTGAACTTGCCTGAAGGGAAAAGTCAAATAAGCAAAGGATTGCCAGAAATCTTTATGCTGGGAAGTACGTTTCTCCTAAACTAATCATTACGTAAATGAATATAGACATTTTCCATCTACTTCATTCATTCGAATATGTGTCAGTCACTGCTAGGCTCTGGAAAAATAAAGTTTATTTTCCCAAGACTTAATATAAATGAAATAGGATATATGTAGCAAACAACCTTACAAAAATATCACTGCCTAGATGATACATAATTCTAATATCCCAGTTGCCAAATTAAGCAAACAATTAACTACCATGCATGGAATACTTGACTATATATGGAATTGCAAGGAAAACCTAACATTAAGAAAGCAATCTCTAGCCACAAAAATATCTCGAGTTCCAGGAGCTAATCTGGGAACGGAGGTGAGAGTGCAGCAGTGTGAGGAGAGAAGTTATCAACGCATATTGTCACAAATAGAATACACTTGAAAATCCTGGTATAATTTTTAATCCAATGACAAGGAAAGCAAGCTTGGTAAATGCTAATTGAAATAGTATGTGGTGTTATTTAATAATCACGGATTATAGTAGCTCTTAAGGCTTTGTAACAGTTATGTGCACTTTACATCCATCTTTGATCTGCAGCTCGGATGTCTTGAACCACCTGTTGTCATCTTTTCCTTGAATCTTCATATGTGTTGACTCATTTGATATTTAACAAATTGCAAATCTTATTATATTAATATCCTACATCTTTTCTACAGGAATTGAAAAGTCCTGAAACGGTTGGAAACAGAAATTTAGGAATACTGTCACATCTCTAATCCCATGTATCAATTTTTTTATAACTCTGAAACCCAAGGAGGGTGACCTCTCAAAGAGAGCTTATTAGAACCCATTTTTCTTCATTTATAGACCAAGTTTCTTCTTCTCTTTTTTATATACTAACTTCATGTTTCTGCATATTAGGGTTTTCATTTTTTTTTTTTTTTTTAGAAATCAGGTTCATACATTTGAATTTGAGAAAATTAAATTTAACATAAAAATCTAGTAATCTAGTACCATGGGGGGAAAAATATTGTCAGATACTAAAGTTTAATTTCAAGAATTTGGCAATACAATATTTCTCTGAGTTAAATGTTTTAGTTCCATACAAAAAAAAAAAAAGATCTTACAGTAGATAATCATCAAATAGAGATTTTATAAGGTAGGACTATTTGCCCACTGAGACCAGTCATTTTCAGCTTACTTCTGATGGTTTCCTACCTACTCAGCATTTCTTTTAAATATTTTTAACTGTTGTATTGAAGAACATTGAGAAGAAAATTTCAAGTTTTCTCATAGGCATTCCTTTTTAGAAGGCTTACAATTGGAATGAATAATTAGAGAAATTTGAGAATTTGAGATAAATTGGCACAGAAACCCCATCACTGGGATTTCCTAACTCATTTTTAAAATTTGCCCCATGACAATTATGTTGTATGAGTCAGCTTTAATATGCATGTTTGTTGGAATTATATATCCTCAAAGTATTATTTAATAACTTCTAAACTGCTGCATTACTCTATGTTGCTGACATTCAGGTAAAAATGTTAAGTGACATATTTCATATAATATGAAATATTTTGTGTGTAACAATGCTGTGGTTTGAATGTATACCCCCAAAAACCGTGTGATGGACGCTTAATCCCCAATGCAACAGTGTGGGGAGGTGGGGCCTAATAAGAGGTGGTTAGGCTATGAGAGCTCTGCCCTCATGAATTAATTAATGGTGTCATCACAAATGTGCAGTCTGCTTATAAAAAGACTAGTTTGGCTCCCTCTTGCCTCTTTCTCTTTTCCTTTCCTTCCCTCTCTCTCCCCTCTTCTCTTAGCTTTTCCACCATGCAATGATACAGCAAGAAGGCCTTCACCAATTGCCTGCCCCTCCTTGTTGACCTTCCCTGCTTCCAGAACTGTGAGCCAACAAATTTCTGATCATTATCAATTATCCATTCATAGATATTATGTTGTAGCAGCATAAAATAGACTGAGACAAACCCCAAGACTATTTTTCTGTTTTGGATCAAATGTTATTTCTAGCAATACTCAGTATTGTATTTTATATGTCAACCAAGAAAATTGGTATTCTTCTGCCTTCGGTTTCTTTAGAAAGGGTTTAAAAATCCATTTCTGGATACCAAAGGTTTACCATATTGCTGAAACACATCTGTAGGACTTTTCTTTTTTCCTGCCTAGCTGGTGTTGAGCCCCTGGGCTCAAGGGATCCTCCTGCCTCAGCCTCTGAAGTAGCTACCTGGGATTACCGTCATGTCAACAAAGAATTGTTGAATCCCTGCAGCAGATTTAAACAATTTCCATTACAAAAGAGTGGTTTTAAATCTACTACATTGAGGATCTGAATTATTTTCCTCCTTTAGGAGTGTTGGTATTCTGGGATAATTTTATTTCCACCAATAAGAAAACAATAAACAGGCTGGGCATGGTGGCTTATGTCTGTAATCCCAGCACTTTGGGAGGCCAAGGCGGGAGGATCACCTGAGGTCAGGGGTTCAAGACCAGCCTGGCCAACATGGCAAAACCGCATCTCTACTAAAAAATACAAAAATTAGCCAGACGTGGTGGCAGGCGCCTGTAATCCCAGCTCTCGGAGCCTGAGGCAGGGATAATTGCTTGAAACCAGGAGTCAGAGGTTGCAGTGAGGTGAGATGGGCCATTACACTCTAGCCCAGGTGACAGAGCAAGACTCCATCTAAAAAAAGCAGAATAAATAAATAAATAAATAAATAAGCAATCATTTAAGGAGGAGGTTTCTATGATGTCATAATGGTACTATTCAGCCATCTGGTATTCATAGATTACAACCTGCAAGAATACTGTCTGCCTAATACATGCACAATAAAATGCTTATTGAATTAAGTGGGCAGCCATGAAGGAGAGAAAACGAATGTACTTGTGCTTTTGCGGTGCACATCTAACTCTAACTTCTCATTCCAAGTGGATAGCTTTGTGGTCCTGGCAGCTCAGCCATATTATTCTATATGACAAAGTGTGTCATTATTAGTTTCCCCAGCCCTCAATAGTGCCTCACATTCTAAGGGTTTCTAGATGTCGCTTCTTTGGTATTGTATTAGTTGTCTGTGCTGCCATAACAAAATAACCACAGATTCGGTGTCTTAAAATACAGAAACGTATTTTTTCACAGCTCTGGAAACTGGGAGTTCAAGATTAAGGTGCCAGCAGGGTTGATTTCTCCTGCAGCCTCTCTATTTGCCTTGCAGGTGGCCACCCTCTCATTGCCTCTTCCCATGGTCCGTGTGTGCCCACGGTATCTCTTCATCTTCATCTTCGGCTGAGGGCATAAATCATACTTGATTTCAGCCCCACCCAGATGGTATCATTTTAACTTAATAACCCCTCTAAAGACTTTGTCTTCAAATGTAGTTACATTCTGAAGTGCTAGGGGGTAGGACTTCAACATATGAATTTTAGAGAGACAAAATTCAGCCCGTAACAGTCATATTCAATCTGTTTTACTTAATCCTATGCTTCATACTTTTGTGCCGTCAAATATATTTTTTCATGCCCCGTTCTGTAACTTCGTAGATTGGTGACAGATGCATTAGCACGTTAAAGGATAGTACCTGCACACATTTTCTGCCAGTATAGGCACTTCCAATTTGAATCGTTTTGGGGGAAAAGAGTTCTGTGCATTGAAAAGCAATCTAGTCTAATGTGCTTTGCAAAGTCTACTTAGAAAGTAAGGACTATGTGGAGAAACAGCTACAATTTATCAACTGAGAGCCTGTGCAAAAGTCTATATTTCTTTTCTGCATCATTTGCTTTCACTTACCTTGAACAGGCTGGAAGTTACACTTGCACACTGAAAATGGCCTGGAGGCCCCAGACCTTTTCTCATCACTTTTTTGTCCATTCACCTATACTCAAAAGACAAAGTCTCTCCCTCCATAGTAGTAGGCACACATTTCCCTAAAATTATCCTATGATATATATGGGCAGAGAAAACCACGTGTCAGAATGTGACTAATGTCAATTTCCAATACCTCTCTCCCATGTTCAGGGCACATGATCCCTGAAGAACAACCCAGGGACTTCTAGCTCTGTGATCTTGGGCAAGTTACTTAAGCCTTAGTCCCTATTTGCTACAAGATTGATTCCTTGAGCGTCTATTGTTCTGCTGTGAATCACAGAGAGGACTATCCCTGCATGTTTCATGCTCATCAGTCAGATGGATTTGAAACAGATTCGGCTAACAACAGGCAAAGGAAAGGTCCTGGAGGGTAAAAGAAAGGGAGAAGCCAGGCTCTTTCTCTTTCTCCTCTCTCTCCTCTGATGGCATCTCTTTGGGCTCTGTGTGTCTCTTGGATGGCTTCACCTCTTGCCAGAATGCCCTTGCCTGATACCGGGTCTTCCCAGTGAGGTGAGGTAGGTCCCTGAGATTTAGAAACTGTGCATCCTCCCATCCTCCCTCCAAGTTAAAGGTAGTAATGCCTTCTTGATGTTTGTAAACTCTGGC